ATGTAAATGACAAAAGTTCTTCAGTAGAATTAAAAATGGTAATAATAAATTTAAACCGTGGGAAACAATGAATTATTCAGACCTTCAATTCCAACGTATGCCTATGATGTGGGGACAGCGGAAGAGGGGTTCTATGACTATATGTGTTTGATTTTCCGCTGGTACCAACTCAAGAATATCTATATATGTTTTGGTCTCAAACATTTATGACTGGACTTGAAAAAAAAAATTTCGTACGTTAGATGCTATGAAACCTTTGCTTTAGATTTTCAAGTCATGAAATTTCTTTCCTGTCAAGCACAGTATAAGTTGGTTTGAATGTATTCCTTACACAAGTTCATGGTTATCATAATTCTAACCATAGATATCGAATTGTCCCCTAGAGAGGGACAATAAATAAAATAACATCAATTAAAATTAATTTAAGGATAAATACCAATCCGATGTTCCCATTACATAGGATTCATACTAATTAATTTTGAAATGGATATATAGATAGGAAGCATGCCTGGGAAGAATGTAAAAAGGGGGGGTCTATGTGTAACAGGTATTGAGTCTTTGCGTCAACTGATCACTATTCAAGAGTATCTTATTATCAATAGGGCCTTTAAAAAAGGGATATCATTGAACATTGGGGAATAGATTCAATAATATCATAATTCCAGAGTGGACATCCATATAATATAAGCAGTATAAAATATTCTTGCGTTGTAATGAAGAATGATAATAGGAGGGTGGATAATAAGGAGAAAAATAGGGATGAGTGATTACCTAACATTTTATTGTACGCTACGTTATATCGAAATGTATTAAACATAAATTAGATTATGTCTTTTTCAATTTCTTAATATATGGTTCTCAATTAGAGATCAGGACAGGATAGCTACTCTAGGTCGCACGTGAAATCTAGGTTGTATTTTGACTACTATGCCAAATTATATTTATTTCTTATATTTATGTTTCATATGAGTATAAAGTTACATTCACATTCATGTAGTTACTATGGGTATGTTTTATTTTTCTTTCAAAATGTTATGTTAAACACAAAACCTTTATTTAATGAGGATTAATACTATTATCAACTGCAATCTATCTTTCTATATACGCCATACAGCAATAACTAGACAGAATCAAAAGTCGCCATGCAAACACTGTGCGTCATTTTTAAGAGACACACAGAGTAGAGTGTAATGAGTTAATCTTAGTATACACCTAGAACAAACTAGAGGAACAAAGAGTTCGTAATTCAGTAACAAAGAATATAGGGAGCCAAGATCGGTCATCCTTGCTCATATAATCATCTCCAAAAAGAAAGAGAAAAAAACATAAATTGCCTCTTTACTTTAGCTCTGAGAGTGCATGTAATATTTTGTTGAAAACGCTTTAACGAGTTCCATTTGTGAGATAGATTAAGGACTCATAGCTTATCAAATATTTATTTTTTGTTGTGGCTCAATAAGTTACTTTGATACTATCACCAGGGGCTTCACTGATATTTTTTGTTAATATTTATTATGGCGGTATTCATAAACAAATAATAGAATTTAAGTCATGTATAAATCGTTTAAATTAAATGGGTGTAAAATTCTTTTAATGTATACTTATATAGACTTGCACATATTCCTTGCACACTTCATACATTTTTAGAAAAGAGCCGCTTGATCAATTTTATGGAGGGAGTCAATTATATTATATTGCTGCCTAAAAATGCATGCATATTTTCTACAAGTTAAGATTTCTTAATTATACTTTTCTCCCTATCTCGGTAATAATTATGTTTTTTCACTTTAACGTCTTATAAGATATCATCTATAATCAATAAACAGAATGCAATGTAATGAACTCGGGTAAATTAATATATAAGTAAGTTTTATAACTTGAAGAACATTAAATGTTTTAGTAATGACATTGTGCACAAATTTTATATAATCTTGAGTATAATAATGTGCAGTAAATATAATAGCCAATTAGTAGGGGCATCTGTTTCTGGTTACTCTATCATCTTGTCGAGAAAATAATCCTGTGTTAAGCAAGGGGCCTAGATAGATTAAAAATGTACCAATATAATTATTCTATTAAATGTTGTATTATGCATCAGGGTTTTTAGGGTAGACTGCAGAATCCTCCTATTCTTAACCAATCAAATATAACAGTCATTTGTTTTTTTGGCTTGTCAATCAACTGGTGAATAACCAATCTCTTAAATCTGACAGTCTTAGTGCAGAAACGTTTCTGATTGGGCCTAATAGATAGAATTAACTATTCTACGGAATATCTGTTATTTGGTAACAGGATTGCCTGTTTAAATTTCCATGCAAACAGGAATCATTTTAAGTTGGTTCAAGTGTTGGAATTTATCTCAACATAAAATTATTGTATAGAAATTAACATTCTAGTTATGAGTTGTCTGACGAATAATGAGTGGGAATCATTGCAAATTAGAGGTAATCTGAGTACAATATGCTGTGGGTACAGTCATTCTAGTTCCATTTGTGTGTAACACTGACGGGAATATAAATGTATTCAGAATTTTCCTTCTTATAACTTATTTACTATCTTTAGGCGATGACTTCAACATGTATAATGACAGTACAGGAAATTTGTACAATAACCAGTCTTTTCTAGTATATATTATGGACTCACTCGATATAATGCTGTATAGTACCCTATTGAAAAATGGAATTTATACAAATCAAATATGTATGTCTTGTAGCATTAAAACTATTGCCATACTGAAGAAAAAATTGATTCATAAATCCCGGTTCGGCAATTTCTGTATTGATGCGTAAAATCTTTAGTGCTGTCCTTAACATGAAATCTTGCCCATTGAGTATACTTGAAGTGTACAACTATATGTCCTAAGTCGAGTTATTGAGATACAGATGTTTTTATAAAAAGAAATTTGACTTAAATTTTTTAACTTGGTTAGTGCCACGTATTACGGTTGTTTGGGTTTATCTGGTTTGACTATTATCGAAAGTTTTACATCGTAAGTCGGATTTAATTCTCATTAAAGGTAGAGTTGAGAATGGGGTGAATGCCTATTAATATTCTTCCAACACGCTTTAACCAATCGGTGCACGCACCGGGAGTAAAACCATTAAGCTTTCCAAACCCAAATTGTAAAAAGGGGAATAAGAATGTTCAATTTGGCATTACTCTTTAGCGATGACTGCAACATTATGAAATAGTAAGCTAAGAAATTTTATACAAAGGTCATTGTTCTTCAATCTTTATTGCTATGATATTAATGTTATAAGGACTATTTTAGTAATATCAACAAATTATTGCCTTGAGCTAGAAATATTTGCAAATATTCTGGGTTGCCATTGCATTTCCATAAAATCTACAAATCAATCGGTGAAGCAAGTTACCAAAAAATATAGTATGGGCGAACTAAATAGGCTGTCGATACAACTCGTTTTTATATTTGACCATGAATTACTTAACTCCTATCGCTCACAGGGGCTTTTTAAATATAGACGGCTTAAACCTGCGCATGATAATTAAGAGTTTACATTTACACTGTTTAGAACAAATAGACGAAAAGGATCTAGGGTAACCTGTAACGCAAAATGAGCCCATAATATTTTGACAGTAAATTCTACATTGCCATTTTTCGGATATGCTTTTTCTGACATATATAGAAGTAAGTCATATATCGATTTTACACAATGGGTTATTTTGTATATAGCCCAAACTTCTATTAATATTTGTTCAAAATAGTCCAAGTTGAAAAGAGGATCCTAAGGTTTTTTAGGTCAATTAATGGAAATCATATTGCAGCATGAGCTTGTGTCTATCAATGTATCATCACCAAATAATACTTACAGGAAATAACGAAATCTCTAGACTCTCTCGGTAATATTTTGCGTGGTGTACATAAGAGTAACTAGCGAGGACATTTACTTGGTCTCAGAACATAGGTAGAATCAAGCATGGTTTAGAAAAGAATTCCAGCTTTAGTAATTGTCCCAGCGCTAAATCAATTTATCGATCTTTTAAGAAAAAGGGACTATTGAAGCATTATCATACGGAAGCGCCTCATTTTAATATCAAGCCACTAATTTGGAGAATTATAGTCGAAAAATGGTATTTGTATAAATTTGTAAATATTGCGTTGCGGGGATGCGGTTCTTATCTTTTTCTTTTTTTTCAATCTGCTTTTGTTTGATTGTTTTTGTTTGATTTTTGTTTTGCTTTGTTAGTTTATCCTATTTTGTTTAGGGATGATTTCTATGTCTGGGTCTTGTTTTATTAGTTGAGAGGCAGCAAAAGCATTTCAAAGATAAATTCTAGAAGCATTTCGAAGTTATTAGAATATATTTCCAATAAAACAGAACGAGTATTTTAACGAAAGCATTAATATAGTATTCGTACAATTTTATTAGGTATTTATTCTTTTAATTTATAGCAACCAGTTTCCTTTATTGGGAGATTATGGGTGAAATACAAAATTAAATGACTTACATTTATGTTATAAAAGAGTAATTGCATTCGACATGCAGGCGAGTCTCATCTATATATTCACATAGAGGTAAAGCAAATACATGATTAGTTTATTTCTCTGCGAGGGTGCTGCTGCAAGTTATTCTGAGCATTTTTTGTCCTTCCAGGAATTTTAGCGTGGGCTCGACAATCTGCCATATTAAGACAGTATAATAAGGCTATCTTGCAATTAGTTTTCAAATAGGAGCAATTGACCCTAGGAGCCTTATTATAATGGTAGGGTGAGTGTGGTGTGGTATAGCAGGTCTCTTATGAGTTTACATGCCTTATTTGTTGCTGTAGAAATAGAATTTAAAATGACAATCAAATTTAAACTTTATATGTTTTAAGCTTTTTGTGAGCCTTTTATTGCATGGCTTTGAAAATAAGTTGTTTTTAAATGTATTCACTTTAAAAAAAACTTTGATCTAAAATTTAGTGTTCTGCAAAGTTTGAAACAAAGAAATGAAATACATTGTACAAGAAAATATTGAAAGTTTTGCATGCAACATCTTCTTCAAAATAACTTGACAGTTTTCACTTTAAACTTAAGACATATATTTCTGATCATGGTTGGAGCTCACTATCCAAAGCCAATTACACTCTTATCATGTATTTTGATAGAAATATTGCCTTTGAGAACTTTGGAAAATGTTCTTGGTAAGTTGGTTAAAGTTTGCCATACAATATCAGTTCAATAGGACCTTGTTATACTTTTGGCAAAACTAATTTCAACTTTCATCCTGATATACTGAACAGTTATAATGAACAATCATGAAAATGCAAGTTGAACAAGTCAATTTTAGATATTCACTAAGTTTATGGTTAAAATATGATATATTTTATGGCAGTGTATATTGACAGTGTATATATTGTTTATTGCAGGTGGCCGTGGGAGATTTTCATAAGAAGATTAGCTATGCTTACTTCACAGCCTTTATATCCTTGCTGAATAACATGGAACTGATGAAGAAGATTCATATGGCTGCTACTAAACGAGACAGAAATGCGGCTTGTACTAAAGGTTTGTTAAGTCTAGACTATAATAATATATTTACACTTTTTAACAAGTTGATTAAAGTTGCATTGTAATAGTTATAAAATGTATTTGTTCTGAAAATTCAGTTAAAACCATGAATTGATAATGTTATAGATGATGATGTATAATTTTTATCAAGAAATTCAATGGATGGTATTACCTCCTCAGAAATGGAAATTTCTGAAAATGTCTAAAATTTAAAAAACTTGTTCCTGTGTAAGTTATGTTTGAAAAATAAGCATTAAAAGTTAAATTGTATTTTTCAAAGATTTTATTTCGAAAGAATACTGTATAAGTGTTGAAGTAAGCGAAGCGGAAATATTGCTGAATTTCATGAATTGACTTTAATTGCTAAAATTTTATCTAGAGTAAATATCAACCAACATTCATGAAATTCTACCCTAGCATGATTTGATAATATTTCCTCACATGAAATGTTGGGAATTTGAAATTTCCTAACTTTTCGACATGCAGAAATATCTACTTATACAATAGACGGTTTTTATGGTTACATGTATGTTGAATGTTACAGAGGAGCTACAGTATCAGTCACAAGAGTTTCCACAGATCACACCAATGGAGATTGACATTCTCTTTCAACTTGTACAGCTTCTTAACCAAAACCAGTATGTTCAAATTTACATGTTTTATAACTTAAAACCGCTGTATCTATTACTGTATAGTTTTTCACAAGGCTTGTATATTTTTGTTGACAATTCTCAATGTCTTGTCATTGGATGTTGTGAGTTTTTGGAAAGTTTGAAGCAGTTTAGTTATATATAATTACTTTTTTTGGACCACCTAAAATCTTAAGCAAGCCAGTAAGTTTATGGCATAATAAGTAAACATTTTGACCTGGATAAATTGACAATATCTTGATTTAATAAATTGTTTTCTCTAAAAATAATTTTCTCTTAATTTATTTAACTTAACATTTCTTTTCAGACAATCAGAGAGACAGATGGGGTAAGAATTTTATCATTATAGAGATCAATATTGAGATTTTTCCATATGTTTGATACGAAAGTTTGTAAAAGATTGACATTCAATAGCAATTTTTGGGGCCTATGACATTGGCAAATTTTTGGCCTAAATGTGTTGAATGAAATTGAAATCCAGATATATAAGTTCTAAGATTGACAGTGTATGTGTAATATAAAAAAAAAAGATTACTGTATAACATGACTCAAATATTGGGATAGAGATAATGTTCATTTGTTTGATTTTAAGACACTGAGATTTGTAAAAGCTTTCTCATGTAATGATAATCAACAAATTGTACAAGATATTTAGATACAAGTTATCTAATTTCAGACTGATAATGTTCCAAGATCTAGAGGAATTATCTCCAATGGAAGGTCGGGAAACACCTTTCTCATTACAGCTTCAAATTGCAGAGGTATTTTACTACTTACTATTCAAATCCAATGGCTGAAATGTTCTAAAGGCTTAAAGGAACTCCACTAAGGGTATTGAAATGATAGCTCAGAAACAATTTTTCAAAATTTATATGTACCATTCAATGTATGTCTGAACTGATTTTTGTTTTTCCAGAACAATCATTTTAATTGTACAAAATGACCAAAATATGAAAAATGTTTAAAGCTTAAAACTGAAATCAAGCTCAGAATCACACAAAAATCAATTTAAATTGAATTCTGAGTACATATTATATTTTGCCCCCCCCCCCCCCCCCCCCCTTTCATTTTAAGCTACCGTCTTAATTTGTTTATAAAATAATTTCAAATTTTAGATTTTTAGTTTTTTCGACCTCAATGGAATTCCTTTAATTTGTAATATTGGCTGAGTGTTCTATATATTATGACAAAAGAAAGTTAGATTTGGAATGAATACAAATCTACTTTCATACTCAACTTTAAATGATAATGATATATGACTTTGTTGCTTACACACAGTTGATATTTCTCTTATAATAAGCAATTGCTAATTATTCAAATTTTTTTTTGTCAAAAAATATTTTAATCTTGTATCACGTTAGTATGTATTAATTTATGAAATGACATATTACTTTGTCTTTGTGAAACTACATGTTATGGAGCTTAAATTTTAGCATGTTTCCTTTCCTAGTAAAAGTTTTATAAATCATGCCCCTCTGTGTACAAAATGACCCAATTACATACTTCTGAAATGAAGAATTTTTAACTTTTCTAAAAATAGTCTTAAGTGAGCAACCTAGGGCAGTCCATAGGCCTGTTGTGTAAAAAACCCACCATTTTACTCAAAAAATATATATATATTCAAGTTTTATTTTCAAGTTTCTTGTCAGTGCTTTTATTGCTTAAAATATACATACAATGTAAATTTACCCTTTATTTCCAGCAAATAGCCAAGGTGGTAAAATGTTCCACATACATATAGACAGTTTCTATTATCAGTAGTTATATCATAGATATCTTACACAATGATCTGCTCACTTAGCTAAATATAGAGAGCATCTGATTTATAATTCAGGGGTCGCCAGTTTAATCCTCGAGCCATGTTATTTCTACATGACAAACTTGGATGTTGAATCGATGGTCCTTTAACTCTTGCGGCAGAATCATGTGGGGTTGATAGTTGGTAATTGGTAATTACTGGTTAGTTTTCCAGGAAAGCTTGTAAGGTGGATCTTCCACCAAGATATGACCAAAGGTGTTAAAATCAGTTTTAAAACCAGAGAAACTAATTTTAAATGATAATTTGATGTTAGATAAGCAGATATTTTAAGAGCTAGTGCAATTTAGTGAGAGTAAGCTCAAAGAGGCTGAATTGCAATGATTCTTGATCCTCCCATGTATCTGACCCTCAATGTTGCATGTATGAACCTGGTAAAAAGAAAATGATTTACATTTTAAGATTAATATTTGGTTCATATCATTTACTTTAGCTTGATATTTGGTTCTTACCAGTGACTGGCTGCCAGGAGCATTCATCGCTGAGTTTTGAACTCACCAGTGTAGATTCTAATCTGTTAGAGAATTTAACTATTTCATGTGAGGAAGTTTCCAGCTAGCTTATGAAACATTAGTGGTTCTACTCAGATGTCCATTTATGTCTGAAACAAACATACAGAGGAGTACCTGAGGTCTTCCTCCACCAGTAAAGCTGGAACATCACCATATGACCTTTACTGTTGGTATGACATAAAACTCAACAAAGTGACTTGCTCCCCAACATGTTTAAATAAAGTTATCAGGAACTTCCTCTTTAGTAAGGACCATCAAAAAGCCTCAATATTTGTTTTCTTTTTGTTGCTTTAACTATGAATTAAAAAAAAGGATTTGTTTCTTCGTAAGATCATTTCATTGATATATAGTTTTGAGGATAGTTTAGATTGGGTTTCATCTACTGTGCACAATTTTCGTCCTGCAATTACCTAAATTTTAAGGTTATAACTGCACACATATATTCAGTCATCACAGCTTTCAACTAATGTATCAATACATGTATCTCTTAATGGTTAGTTGTTTTCTTTTAAGCAGAGTTAATTTTGGATATAATTATTGTAGTTAAAGTGGCATTAGTTTTGTAAATATTACATACTTGTTAAAATCTGTTATATATTCATGTACCATATTAAACAGATAGGTGTAGTATTGATATAAATACTTGTTCATTAACTAAGGTAGATTTATAAGAAAATATGCTGGAAATAATTCTTGAATTATTAGTAAAGTTTTTGAAAAAGAAAATACTCAATTATTTGAATATGTGATATTGTCTTATGAATAATTTTGCAAGTTCATTAATTATTTAGAGCCATCTGTGCTATAACAGAGTAGATGCATAAATTTGTTATTCATTCCTTTAGTAATTTTGTTGTCGTCACTTTTAAAACACCCTGTTAAATCTAATGAGAGCCATAGTTTAGAAGAAGCAAATTTTCTACAAATTGATGGATTTTCATAATTTGAAATTAAACATTAGCAGGTGCACATGCATTGTAGAACTTGTTTCTTTATTTTGGATGGTCGACTGTCCCATGGACAAAGTCTGTAAGCTGAAGACCAAAGTCATTCTCTAGAATTCTACATGTTAATCATAATTAACAGCAGCTGTTAATGTAAATATCATGATTATCCAATACAAAGTGACATTACAGACATGCAGAATTATAATGCATTAATGTATATATGGAGATTAAGACAGTTTGTGTTTATTATTTCAGGAAGATCTGAGATTAGAAACTGGTGCAGAACGTACAGTCTTCCTTCAGATTGCTGAAAGTGTATACAGGTTTGGGCTGGGAGCACTGGCTGGAGGTACCATACATTTAACACTTCATGAAGACTGATTGAAAATACATTACACAAAGTAAATCAGAGAGAAAAATAATCACTTTTTATAATATTTTTAAATTCTTTTATTAATTGATAGTAATTGACAAAACTGGCTGCACATACATTATTTTCTAGTTCATATTTCAATATTTGTTAAAGCAGCATGCCTCCAGATTCATGCTAATTTTCATGAACACTTTGAAAATTGTGTTTAAAAGTAAAATATTATGAAGTGAACAAGGAAAATAATTGACACATTGCAAACAATACTTTGCATGTTAATGTTAATTACTAAAAATGGCAGAAAATAGCAAACAATAACCCTAACTGCACACAGTAATAGTATTGTGATAAATATTGTGAATTCAGTCCTTAATTACACATAGCATGTAAATTATCACTTAAATCATTTTACTTTCTTGATAATATTAGTACATTTTCTTTAAGTTTAATTATCTTAAAAATATTTTGGCTCTTCGGGAGGCATGCAGCTTTAAAATTAATGATATGAATGAGTTAATTGTTTAGAACTGCTCAAAGATAACATAAACAAAACAATGTTTTATTAACTGTTTCTTTTTGAAATATGTACCAAAAAAAACAAAAAAACATGAAAATGACATAAGGTAGGCTTTTATTTCTTTTAGAATTTGGGCCATTCACCACAAACAGATGTGTGTGGAATTTGTGACATGCTAATAGGGCACTGATGTTGCATTTTTCGTAAAACCAGGCAAGTCATGCCTGAAAAATGTAATTTGTGTTGCAAGCTTCTTTCCTCTACATTAGGGGCATCAGGTTTTTGTAATAGCTTAAAAAGACCACCCTTTCAGAAGTTTTTATCAGCCTAAAATTTCTTTACAGATATCGGTTTATAAAATTTTTTAATTTTTTGACAAAATTGATGTTTTTCTGAGCTATTATCAGATATAGAATTGGTTATACATGTATTTGTGATTCTATTTATTATAATTTGTTTGTTTTTTCCAACAGCTACTGGGGCTACAGCTGTCTACCCTATCGATCTGGTAAAAACTCGTCTACAAAATCAGAGGACCGGTATGATGGTGGGAGAATTAATGTACAAAAATAGTTTTGATTGTTTCAAGAAAGTGATACGTCACGAGGGTGCCCGAGGGCTGTACAGAGGGCTGGGACCTCAACTTGTTGGAGTAGCACCCGAGAAGGCTATAAAACTGACAGTAAGATTTCACTTCTATTATGTCTTTTAAAATCCTAATTTTAATATTCAATTGAAAAAAAAATTGAGGTAAAGTATGTTATATTGCATAAAAAAACATCTTTCTATTAACTGGTATATGTTTGGTAACATTCCTTTACTTATATTTTTGATAAGCAAGTAATTAAGGTTATTATTTCTGATTATAAAATATAATTTCAATAACAATGTCAACACAATTCTCTAGAATTTAGTTTCCTTTAAACAAAATGTCTGAAAATGTAATGCAGAAAAGTGTTGAGAAGAAATAACTTTTCAAGTAATAAGTTTGTTTTGGTTTGAATTTACTAGAGATTGCTGTACTTAGACTCCAAGAAATGAACAGAAGTAAATTTGAAATTTATCAAGTGTTTTATTAATGGACTGGTCTTAATATGACCAAATATTCTGTTACTTTGTATTGAAAATACTTGAATATTAAATTAAGAGTTTGATATTTTCAGATGAATGATTTGATGAGAGATAAACTATGTAACAAAGATGGTTCTATTTCATTGTGGGCAGAGAGATGGCTTCTGGTGGAATAGTAAGTATACATTTGATACATTACAAAATTATTTCATTTATTGTTATTTTATGATAGTTAAATTCATTTATGATTTATATAATTTAGTGTGTTAATATTATTGTATTTGGACCCCTATAAGCTTTTATCTTTATAGGCATAAAATATACTACTTTATTAGTCCCCTACCGGTTTACCGGAGGGGACTTTAGGTTTACCCTCCGTCCGTCTGTCCGTCTGTCCGTCCGTCCGTCCGTCAGTCCGTCCGTCCACAAAACTGGATCCCGCGATAACGCAAAAAGTACTGAAAATATTTTAATGAAACTTGATATATGGATAGATGGCAGTATGGAGATTATGCACGTCTTTTTCTTTTCTTCCTATGTTGAAAATAATAGTTGCTATGGCAACAAATAGACTGAAAATATAGCAAATTTTACACATAACCTGGATCCCGCGATACCGCAAAAAGTACTGAAAATATTTTTATGAAACTTGATATATGCGATAGATGGCAGTATGGAGATTATGCACGTCTTTTTCTTTTTTTCCTATGCTGAAAATTCTGGTTGCTATGGCAACAAAATAGACTGAAAATATGGCAAAATTTACACATAACCTGGATCCAGTGATAACGCAAAAATTACTGAAAATATTTTTTATGAAACTTGACATATTGGTAGATGGCAGTATGGAAATTATGCACATTCTTTTCTTATCTTCCTGTATTGAAAATTCTGGTTGCTATGGCAACAAATAGACTGTATTTCAAGATTTTCTGATTCTAGTTTTTCAGTTTTTTCACTATAAGTTCTTTATTTCTTAAGGTATTTTCTTCAAACTTTAAATATAAGTTGCTAGTCATCAACCACATCATATGTGACAAAGTTTACAACTCTAGCACAAAATTTATCAGAATTACCTCCCTGGAACTTAAAATTTTCATGAAAAAAACTTTGTTTTTTTTTTAATAACTTCTTTTTTTTGAACGTATCTACTTCAAACTTCATATAAATGTTTCTTATTATCACTCAACATTTGTGAAAAAGTTCAATACTCTAGCAAGACTATTTCTAGAATTATGCCCCTTTTGAACTTGACTTTTTTTTGAGAAATTGGTAATTTTCTTCAATTATGATAGGATTTTCTTCAAGCTCCCACATCATAATAATATGACAATAATATGACAAGGTTTATAAATCTAGCATCCATATTTCCAGAATTATCTCCTCCTTAAACTTTTTATTTTTCCTATTCGTTCTTTTAACTTTCATTTACTTCAAATTCAAAATAAACATTCAATATTCATACCTTCATTACTAATTGTTCTTTGTTACACTCACATCATTTATGACATCGTTATCTTCCTTTTTTAAAAATTTTGCTTTAAAATGTTATATTTTGATAACAGGGATGTTTAAAAAATAACTTTAGAGTGTCCTTCAGTCTCTCTGTCTGTCTGTACATAAAAACTGTTCACTGTGATCACTTAAAATAGAAACATAAGTGAATGGCCAATGGCCCTTCAGAATGTTGCTTAGGCTCTTACCGGTAGGGGACTTATGGATTGCTTGCAATACTATGATAATTGCTTGTTTATATAATTATATTTTTGTTGCATTTTTATGTCTTTCATATGCAGAAATTGATTATTTCCCTTTAGTATTTCTGGAATTTGTCGTAATAACTTTAACTGGTGACTTCTTTTTTTAGCAAGCGTATTCTTAGGTAAGTGGGCTAGCTGTTCTTTGATATGATCTTGATATTCATAAGGTTATTTAAATCAATAATGTGAAACATATGTAAATTTCAGGCAGGAGCATCGCAGGTGATGTTTACAAATCCTCTAGAGATTGTAAAGATTCGTCTACAGGTAGCTGGAGAGATTGTTGGCAAGACGAAAGTTAGCGCAATCGGTGTTGTCAAAGAGCTTGGATTTCTTGGACTTTACAAGGTAGTTATCTTAGTGCATTGTTCAACACTTTGGTCAAGTTTGATATCACTACAGTGAATTATGATATATTAAATTCATTAATATCTTTGTGTAACAAAAGACTATACTAAGACATGTTATATTTGTAGGTGGTGCAGACTGGATTAATTCTTTATCACAAGCTTGCAAAAATAGTTATTATATAAAATGTCTAAATTTTTAGTATACTTCTAGAAAGAATTCTGTGAAGATATATTTGGGATTGCCATTAAAAAGTTTATGAGACGATTTGTTTTGAATATATGACAGTCATTTTTGGTTTTTATCACATACAGCAAGGAGTATTTTCTATGTTTTGAGGCTGCCAGAAATGCGTTTGAGATAGTCATTCTGATTTTCAGTCACCTTCTAATGACAACCTGGTAATCTTATTATAATTATGATAAAATATTTCAGGGTTCAAGAGCATGTTTCCTTAGAGATATACCATTCTCAGCCATATATTTCCCTGCCTACGCTCATTTTAAGAAATCTTTCGCTGATGAAAATGGCTATAATCATCCTGGTACTTTACTCTTGGCTGCTACATGTGCAGGTTAGTTCGCATTATAACCAGTTATTCAGATTTATAATAAAAAAAAAACTTGATGGGGTTTCATTGAATATGATAAAAGGAAATGGTAGCAAAAAAATAAAGTTTTTATCACCCATTAACTTAGTGAAAAGCATTTTTTCAGCATAGTGAAAAGCATTTTTCAACAAAGCGAAAAGCATTCTTTTCAGTCATCATTATAGGATTTATTTTAAATGGGGGAAGTTACATTATTATAAGTATACAAAAGGTTGGATGTTTTATATGTCTCCTTGTCCATGTCTTGAGTTTTCTGTATATTTAGGTGCTCCTGCTGCTGCTTTGCCAACACCTGCTGATGTGATAAAAACCCGTCTACAGGTAGCTGCTCGTCAAGGGCAGACAACTTACAATGGTGTCATAGATTGTGCTCGAAAAATATTAAGAGAAGAAGGCTTTGGTGCTTTTTGGAAAGGAACACCTGGTATGATGTGAAAATTTTAACTATTGTGTTACATATCAATGTAATGTTCACAGTTTCAATTAATTATAGATATTGTTATGAATTTTAGTGAGATTGTTTCCCATCACAGCCTCGAATCCTGTAAGAAAGGATTTCTTGTGTGTAAACAAAAAGATTCCTTGAATTATTTAACAGATTTTTCCATTCTCTAGAGTATGGATATAAGGAAAAGATCTTAGTTTTTATGTGAGTTATATATCCTTTCATGTTAGAAGGCTATCCAGCTAGGGTGCGGAACGTCACTGGACAGTGGTTCTACTCAGGTGGATGCTTTCGCCTGAAATAATGCACAAAGGGGCACCTGAGGTGTTGCCATATGACCTGTATGAAGTGAAGTAAACACCTTCAAACAAACAAACAAAACAAAAAAGATTTTATATGATTATGATATTATAATGCCTGTGTATTTGATTTAATGCATTAATCTTTTTTTCAGCTCGAGTGTTCCGTTCTTCCCCACAGTTTGGTGTTACTTTGCTCACATATGAACTTTTACAGAGAGTCTTCTATGTTGACTTTGGTGGAAGGTATAACTATGATTTTGCTTTCAAATTCTTGAAGTATATTTAGATTAGATTCAATAATGTAACTAGGAACGTGCCTCTCTGACATGGATACCCCCACATTTCTCTGTTTTGACAGTCTTAAGAAGGATTTGACAGCAGAACAGTGGGATGGGTAGACTAGGGCAAAGTTTGTCACCCCCTGCACACCTCCAGAAGTGGGCATACAAATACTTGGATATGATTAAATACATACTTTTCTTTTCCCCATACTACTCATTCTTCTTTAGGTAATATTTTTAAAAATTGTAAAATTCTATAATTTAATGTGTCCAACTAGCACGCTGAATGTCATATTAACTTAATGGTCAGCAGAGTTTTGAAATAATGAGCTATTTTTGGCCTACACTTACTAGTAAAGCTTGAAAGTTGTGATATTACCTTTTGTTTGTGTGAGTTTAGAAGAAATAGAAAAAAGTATTATATTTATGACCGTATCACATTTTTCAAATTTTAGACGACCTGAAGGTTCTGCAGCCAAACCCACGCACTTACAGGAACAACTATCACGCAATCCAGATCATATAGGAGGCTTCCGATTGGCTTTAGCAACATTTGACGGCATGGAGAGGCAACTTGGCTTATGTTTACCGAAATTTCGAAATGCAATAACTGATGATACTACTTGAGGATAAACCTTATATAGTGACAATTTTTTAAAATTTAGTGACAGATATTTTATTTATTATTTTTGTTAATGAGAGTTCATGTTTTTTTTTTCACTGCACCCGGATAGCCGAGTATTTTCTCATTATTCACGCACAGTGTTTGAAAGCCATCTGCCCGATACATGTACACTAATGATTAAATCTTGATTAAAAAAATATACTCAAACTAAAATCATGAAGGTTATTGTGAAACATGTAATACAGTTTTGAGGTAATTGGCGTTAATTGATAAACAATTTGTAAGGTAATTTTAGTATTTATCATGCGAATTGCGTGATAAATCAGCTGAAATTCAGCCACTATGTGAGCTTGATCATTGTTAATCAGAAATTAAATGAAGGAAAAATACAACAACATGAAAGTTATTCCATAGAGACGGAGAATCAATTATCATTAGTTTTCAAAACTTATTTTTTACACTAATTCAGGTTTTTTTGATTCCTGTAAAAGTGATGAAAATGATGAAATCAAACGTTATGTGATTATTTAGTAAACATATTTAACAAGTATTTATTGGAAGCAAAATTTGTCTTGATTTAAGATCATATTGAGATTAGAGCTAAGGTATATTTATTAGGATTGGTAAACGCACTACAGGATTATCACAATTACAATTTTTATAAATTAATTTTGACTATTTTGTAAGATATAACTGTTTTGTTTTTCTAATTATAATTTTTGTACAATATCTTATGTTTTGTGATTACGCATTGTTTGCCTGTTACATGATAAAACTTGTAAATTGATATCCAAGTGGCCTACTGTTTTCAGTGAATAAGAGAAATATTGAGATAATTATAACATCTACGCATAAAAAGTCGATCTTCATTTTATGACTGTATTAGTGCTCAACTTGTGATTGAATTAAAATGCTTTAAAGGGACTCCATGGAGGTTTTTTTGACATGACGGGGCTGCATTTTTTTCAAGATTTATGTTCCCTTTGATGAAGGTTCAGACCAATAACTTATGTATGTGATTTCAGATTATTCATTTTACTCTGTTTTTCCGGAATAATAATTATTCTACTTGTTATAAATGACCCAAAATTGAAAAGAATTGCAACACTTCACTCCAATTAGGCTAAGAAATCAGAAAATACGATTTTCAAAGTATTTCTCAGTATATTCTTATTCATATTTTGCATATCTTTCTGTTTAAAGTGCGCCAGCTGATCTGTGCATTCAAATTTTGTGTTTTTAGCCTTTAAGACCTCAGTGGAGTTTTTTTTAAAAATATTTCAGATATATGAATAAAAATTCCTTTAAGGATAAATTTGATACATAGTCCAATAAACATAAACTCTAAGATGGAAAGTTTTCTTATATTTAAGATTTAGTTCCATGTATAAACAATGTTTTGACGACAGATGAACTGTTAAACCTGTGAAATGTTACATATTTATATGTTGCTCCACTTTTTTAAAGCAACTTTTTCATATTTGGTGCACATCTATAATCTTACAGATCTTATTTTACAGTTTATTTATCTTTCTGAATTTCAGTCTTATGATGTACCCTTTTATAGAAAAGCTTTATTTATTAAGACATAATATTTAAAGGCACATTAAGCCTCAGAAATATATATGATTTTTACTTTGAAGAAAAATACAAACCTGCGTTTTATAATGTTTTAATGATGAATCTCATGAAGAAGACTGTGTCGTAAAAGTAACAAAACATAAACAAAGCGGTATTTTGCCTTCCATACGAAATACTTAATTACTATAACTGAACTAATGGCTAAAAGCAAAGATGGTTCAGTTTTATGACTAATGAGTACTATACTGAACCAAAAAAGAAACTTTCGCAAAGTAAGTACCAGTTGTTCAAGGGTACCACTTAGATGTACATACTTATATACATGTAGTAGCTTATAAAACTCGTTTTGTTTGCAAAATCGGTCTGCTAATCCCCGTATAAAAGCCTGATATGTTTATTCAACGTAAAAATCGAGTTTCAAAAGGATTGAAAAACTGTACTAACATATCTACATTCAAACTTGGAGAAGTTTCTTTTTTTGTTTCAGTATATTTAAAGAAACTGTAACAGAATAAATAACTTGCAAAGCTGTTGTGAAATAATAAAAAATGTATTTTTGGGGCTTAATGAGCCTTGAATGTAAATTAGTCGCTTTAGACATACCACCCTCAAAAGGTGAATACAACACCACCATTTGTTGTGTTAACTGTGGTATGTCCTAAAAATCTTTTGTTTGAAAAAATAATTTCATGGGGTCAAGGTAAATTGAACCGCGTCATGACAAAACCAACATAGTGGGTTTGCGACGAGCATGGATCCAGACCAGCCTGCTTCTCCGCGCAGTCTGATCAGGATCCATGCTGTTCGCTATCAGTTTCTCTATTGTAATAGGGTTTGTAAGCCAACAGCATGGATCCTGATCAGACTGCGCGGAGGCGCAGGCTGGTCTGGATCCATGCTGGTCGCAAACCCATTAGGTTGGTTTTGTCATGGCGTGGCTCAATTAATGATGATATTAAATCCAATAGGGGTAAAAATTTCACTTTGTAATTTGTAAGCAGATAAGATAGGCTTAGGTTTTTATGTCGGACTGGTTTCGAATAATTTGTTGATTTTATTGTTGAATTTGTATAAAATTATTGTAAATATAGTGTTTGATTCATGTGAAATCCCTTGTCTCAACTGTTGAATCCTGAATCTGCTGCGACTTAGAGTTATTTGCCCTTGCCACCAGTTTATAGTCAGACCAGCTGTCACATCAGTGCAGTCTGATAAGGCTCTATTCTGTTGGCTTAATAAGTTTGGACAATTCCAAAAATGGAAACTGTACAGGTCTATTTAAGGAATTCGGCAGGGTAAGGAAATGGAATCTGTTCTTCTTTAGTTATATAAATAGAGCAGTTTATTTGATTTATAAATAGTTAATATACATGTTATATGAAAGCAAGGATCAACACAATGGTGCTTTTGTTATATAAAAAATGATATAAAACATGTTTGTAAACATTTTAGGGTTTTTTTTT